TTACTCACAGTATGGATTCCGGCGGGGACTCCTGATCCAACGACACACACACACACCTGTGGACGCACCGGGTAGCCAGCAGCTAGGCATACCGAACAGAATTCAAGTACCTTCTTAAACTGTTTTCCCAAAATGGGTTTCCTCTGGACTTAGATTTTCGATGCATACGAAAACCACAGTTCAAAGAAAAGAGTATCTTCAGAGCTGCGAACACTAAAGAGTCAAGACCAATGAACTGGCTAACGCTCCCATATGTAAATAATATCTGAGACCGTCAAAAGGCAGCTACGAAAGCGCCAGATCCAGATTGCGCACAAGCCGACAACTACTTTGCGCATCGAGATTGTATACCCTAAGGACAGGGTTGGCCATCTCAACAGAAAGCAACTTGTCTACAAAATACCGTGTACCACTCGTGATGCAGTCTATTGTGGTCAAACCGAGAAAGCTCTATCCACCCACATGCATGAACACCGGTTAGCGGTCAGGAGACGAGACCACCTATCACAGGTTGCCATACACACACTGAACACGGGCACACATTCACAAATAGTTGGCGCCTGCTCAACTAGGAAGGGCCGCGAATTCCTGTAGGCAATTCACTCAGACAAGACATTAGAAGGAACATCGATTTGGATGAAAATTACATTTTTTCAAGATCAGATGGAGGTAAAAGCAGCCACCGCCGACCGCAGGACGACGTAAGGGTGACAACTATTTCTCTTCTGACCGCAGAATTACATGTGGACGATGACTACCTACTTACACTATGACCCACCATATATTGTTGTGTTACTCATCGTTATAAGTTTAATGTTTTCGTGCAACTCTCATTTGTCTGACGAGCTGGGGGACCAGTTTTGAAAATGCATACTATAAACATTATTTCCAATACTTGAATTAAGAACAGGAAAAGGTCAATCCGAACTCAAGATTTGCAAACGAAGACGGCCCTGTGACGAAACTACCGAGAGAGGGAGCAGGATTATCAGCACCCTCTACCGTGGGGACGAAACACAACAGTTACTACCATCAAGCCATGCCCAAATCCACCCGGAGGGCCAAGCAGCGAACGGAGAAAAATGGATCAGCCCATGGCCAACACGTACAACCGCAACTTTTCAAATGGTGATCGATAAAGTCAGTTTACGCTTTCACAAAGGACAGTCTGCCCGGCCGTCCGAAACGTTAGCGACGAAAAAACTCATTCCGATAGGCACAATATGATCTATGATAAAATATATCGCTTAAGGTGCCGATATTTCAATACTATTATAACTATGTGAGGAGACTACATAGGGTACCTTTCGAGATGAAGAAGGCTCGACGGCACAATCGAGGTGGTTACGCCAACCCGTCGTCAGATGAAATGAAAAGTGAAGGTTAGGATTCTTGCCCTAGGGGTTTGGGGGCGAACGTTACATCGAAGGGCTGAGGTTCAAGGTGGGGTAGGGGGACGCGAATCATGTAGCAATAGGTACCGTAC